TCCTTCCCCAGTATTTTATTTGATGCAGATGTGAATGGAATTATTTATTAATTATTATTACTTCTTCAGGTAAAGGTAAAGGAATGAACATACACCTGTATTTATTTGCAATGAAATGACCAGTCATCATCTTTTGATGACTGATAAGTTGGTCTAATGCACTCTGCAGTCTTAAAACCATTGAAATCATTTTACACAAGCACTTAAAATCCTTCTCAAAAATGAAATGAAATAAAAATATCCAGATTAGATAACCTACCATAAACACTGTTCAGCAGTGTGTAAATATTAGCTCCTAGCGCTATATGAAAGTCAGTCTTACTGTTGCTTCAGCCATTATGCTGGCTCATTATGCTGCGGTGGAGGCATGGCTGCGACAGGATAACAGAGCACTAGCAGACCTGAGATCAGCTCAGCAGACCAGCTGCCTCCTAACAGAATGTGCATGAACCCATAATGAATATGTCCAAATGTAACACAGTTAAAGTAAAATTATTTTTCTCAAAACATCTACTCAAGTAAGAGTAAAAGGTATGCTGCATTAAACTACTAGTCCAGTTTACTCAAAAAGTGACTTAAGTACATGTACGTTGTAAAGGTAACTCGTCACCGCCGAACACCAGATTTGTTATGGTGATTGAGTTTTGAAGATATTTATATGCACTTTTAAGCATTGGTTATTTCTGTAAATGTAATATACTCTGATTCAGATCTTCGAATGGCGTTCAATTTAGTGAAGTGCACATAATGACTTGTTTAGCACAGGGTTTAGGACTTGTTGGTCTTGATTTGAAACTTGACTCTTGACTTGTGACAAAAGAAAGAACAAACAATGACGCTGTCCCACCTCTTCAAGCGTGGCACACAGCAGGAAAGTCAGTGAGCCGTGTACTATACGTCTGAGCCAGCTGAGCCCTTAACGACAGGAAATGAAAACCCTACTGAGCACTTTCACCCACTTCAACCTAATGGTTTGTTTTTGCTCAAGGCTGATAGATAATCAATAGGCTATATCTGAGGAGTGAGACTGGCCTTACAGTACATGCTATACATGCCAAAAACTTCAACAACCCAGTGAATGACAAAACAAGGTCTCTGTTTGTGTGTGTCTGAGGCAAATAGAGAGAGGAAATGAAGCGAGCCAACAAGCTGTTTAATGTCACACAGCCGCCCAAATCTGCAGGTAAGGCGTGTAGAGGCCAGGAACAGAATCACTGCCAATTCCCATTTCATTTGGAAAAAGTCACCTGTTGCTGAGCCCCTAAACTGTTAACCAGCTGGGTTTGTTTTGTATCCAGTTGTGACGGAAAGTCACTCTGTACACAAATCTCCTTTTTCAATGTCATTTCAGATGAACTTCATGGAACTTTTATGATGAAAAACCTGAAAAATCTATGTTTAACTTTTTATTGCTTTACAGAAGGTCATCTTCTGTCAACTCTAATTAGCCCTAATAACTGTCAATCACACATACTGTAAGGGCGTCATCGAGGAAGAGCAGGGTGTGTTATATTGAGACACTGCCAAACTTTAAATCCGATGGCCCAACCAGAAAACAAAGATGATAAAATTTAGGTTGATAAATATAATGGACATCAGTTGGTGGCATTTTTAAGTGCTGATGAGCAGACACTCAAAAGTATTAACTATGCATTTAAAAATGTCCTGTGCCTTTAAAGGTTAAACTTTAAGTCTACATGCACTTACATGCTCTTACTCACACAATACACAGATATACCTAAATCCAAATGTCTTGAGACAAATTTTAATGAGAGGCATTCAAGTTATTGAATTATTAAATTATTGTTTCCAGCCACATTTAAGGTGGCATAATTTTTAGGTCTTTTTAATTACCTAAAAAAAACAAAACAATAATTTTAAGGTATTTTTAATGTGTATTTCAACACCATTACAAAGTTGATGTCATATTATGCAAACTGCTGATGATCAGCTTCTTGCTGTAGTACATGACACATTTCCTGCAGCGCTATAGTTTAAGATTACATGGTTTAATGCGTCATATGAAGTCCACGACCTGAGTTTAACCTCCTCTGAGTAATGATTGCTGGATAAAGTAATTTAAATATTTGGTCTTTTTAATGTGTTTTCATTGGTCTATCATCCCAGGTCAGGGCTCTCACATGAGATGAGATATCTGGACACAGTGAGCGCTGCGACACATTCACAGCAACACAGGGAGGTCTAGTCTATATTTCAGTTTAAATAATGACATTTTTCTTCATGTGACATTAATTTTCGTCTCAGCAACTCAATGAAGCTTTTTTGATGCACAATAATTGTGGAGCACATTTTACAAGAAGTCAATTTGAGATTTGCATGACGAATGGCAGCATGTCATGGTGGAAGGCTTTTGCAATACAGAGACAAGCGATTGAAATTGAGATTCTCGCGAGCGGCTGCGGCTTTGGCTCAGAGGGCACTCATGCAATAGAAATGAAATATAAATGGGAAAATAATGAAGGTTTATTCCGACAGCGTCATTGAAAACTTTTACATTGCTGTCACAGGCTCAAGACTTACTTCTGGGAACAGGTACACATTTAGATAAGAAAATATTAAACGCAGGAGAGTGAATATTCCCTGTAAAAGGTTTGACAGTTTTATTTGTTTATTTTAAGGACATCGGAACAACATGTTAGGGGCAAATACATGCCTTTTACAGCAGATGATAAAAGCTGGGATTCTGAATTGATATTGGATGTTCATTACGTCACAATTACCTTAATTGCATTTGTACAGTGCTGGGTGACTTATGGGTTGACCCTCATATAATACTGGCTAATTTGTTTTTTGTTTTAGTGTCTGCAAATTCAAAGAGTCAGTGTGGATGAAATATTTTAAAATGTTTGAAAGGCAGAGGTGAAGCCAGACATGGACTGATTCTAAATGTGAACAAGGCGAGCACAGTCAGCTGACCTGGAGACAGATCAGAACCATATTATTAATTTAATATAAAATGATTCAAGCTTGAGGGATGGTTCTGTTTTTTGAGTTAAACAATGCTCAGTGGCAGCTCCAATCAAAAAGTAGACATGACTAGATGAAAGATGTGTATGGAGCATGTTGTAGTTTGCAAATGTCTCTTGTGTGTGAGTTTATTTTAGGCTTCAGAAATGAAAAAAAAAACCTTATCACCACAATCACAATCTGCAGCTGTGTCACTGTTACATATTCCTCTCACGCAAAGAGGAAGGACAAAAGTACTGCGGAGAAAGAAGATCAGCAAATTATGGTATCCTTATTTTCTAGTCATGTCTGTGGGTATATTTGATGTCTTGAGTATTTCACTAAGTAATTCTCACTATCAGCTTCACCTTCACCAGGGTGAATTTCCAAAAACATTCCACATCGCATAATGTATTTTCATTAGACCCTCATTAGACCCCTTATTTGTGTTGACAGAACATTATACGGAAGACATGTTAATACAGGTATGAGAAGTAGACTGATTTTGATGTGTAAATCATACAAAATTCCCAGAAGTTAACAAAGGTTTGCTCACCATTCCTAAGTGAATGTTTAATGACAACATGTTGCTGGTGTGAATGCTTAAAAGAAAATTCAGTAATGGATATGAATTAAAACAAAAAATGGCTTTTATATTAAAAACAAACAAATAAAACATTTTCAGCTGTGTTGTGGTGAAAATCCATTTCAATATACCCGTATCATTTTCCATAACGAAATGCTCTTTTTTGTCACTGTGACCATGATTTCCTGAATGCAGGAGCCACTAGTTTAGAGTAGAGCTGTCCTCCAATGGAACTCTAACTTTATCCTCCTCAGGTGACATATATAGACTGCACACCCAGCCCATATAACCACTGGGAAGTTTGTAAAAGAGCAGGCTGAAATTGATGACTTGAAACAGTCCAACGCCAAGGCTGAGGACAATTAATCCTGCTTCCCCATTAAAGACGTCTCCTTGATACAATAGAGGATGCCAGGTCCATCTTGAAGTCAAGATGTAAGAGTCACGCATACATGCAGACAGTGAAAGCTATGGGTCTTAATTCTGCTCATTAATCACCTGTCTGTTGAACATTCTCCAGAGAATGGCGCCAGGTTCCTCTGACATAATTACAGCACATGAAGGAACGCTCTCTGCTGCAAATGGTCATAAGTAGCCATCTCATCCTTCTCCTGCCCTTCCTTTTTTGTCTTGGCCATGGAACCAATAGCTTCCCTGTCCTCTGGAGAAACATCCTCCTCCTCTCAAGCCTTTTTGCTGCACTGCTCTTGCTCCTCTTCAGCTTTGTAGTCAGCAGACTTTTTTTCCGGGCTCGCATCCATTTGGCATCCGATGTGGGATAAATAAATTATAGCCTCTAAAATCAATGCGCAGGCCATGATGTCGGCTGTAGGCTTAGTGCTTGCCACCGTGATAGAACTTAGCCACCAGGGCTGAAACAGGACCATTTCATGAGCCCCAGGGCTATGCTGCTATTTAGTATTGTTGTGCTTTGAATTTTTTTTACTGAAAAGCTATTCCAGACCGTCTGACATTTATTATTTGTCATAAGTTTTCATGGGTAATATCACTTTTACTGCAGAGACTGATGGAGGTTTTGAGGCATAATCTTTTCTCTGTTAGTTTGTAACACTGCATCCTGGTCTGAACCAGGTTTTTCCCTTGATTCACTGCAGCATCTGGAAGCTGTCGTTATTTCTCGACAGAACCACTCAAAGAATCTAAATATAAATCAGAAACAGTAGCAAGAGTGACATCTTTGCATTTATTTTTAAAGTTAGGACAGTAGCAGTCAGTCTGTGCGTTGATGTTGTAATGAAAGATTTACAACCGTCAGTGGATAGATGTTTTTTTTGTTTTTTGTTTTTTTTACAGTGTAGTAATTTCATAACTGGTTTTAGTGACTTGCATGAAAACATCTTTGGATGTGTCCTCAGAGTGGCTCTTTGAGAACTACTCTGAACTCACATTACTAATGCTCTCTTTCTCTTACTTTCTGTGTTCCCAGATGGAGATGATACCTGAGCCTGACCCTGATGATGAGGGGACAAAAATAAGTGTAAGTTGAAGAACACATCATGTATCCCTGGTTGTAGCCCCGTGCTTCTCAAATGCATACCACTGTGACCCAAGTTGGCAGCGTTTCATTCAGAGCAAACACAACAGCTGCTGATTTCCTGAATAATACACCTTCACCCGGAGAAAGGAGCTAATCAGGGAAATCGTTGGCAGTGTATTATTACTGTCACAGTGGTTCCCTTCCTGCGCTCATGTCCCAGCTACCGGTCCGCCCCTTTTTTCCTGGCACTCTGTGTATGCATTCTGTGACCAGTGCACCACACAACCTTCCTCTGAACTACCACTGGAGACCTTGGATAGTCAAAGAGTTAGGTGCAGTGACAGGTGTGGGATCAAGGTAACCCATACAAGTAAATTCAGTCTCCAGCGTCAAAGTCTTGTGCTTTATTAGCTTGCTGTTTACCCCAACCACATTCCTACAACCTCTGTGAAGTACAAGAACGAAGCACACTTTGGACATTAGCGGTCAACATCATTCAGGCATACATCATGTTTCCCTAAAGTATTTGGTAAAAGACAAAAAATGAGTTGTGTGTTAACATAGTTTCTAGGAGACAGGTTTGGTATATGTTGGACAAGTAGCACAGAATCTTTTCATTGGTCCCACCAGCATGACCAATTGAGCTGTCCTGAGTAAGTTTGCTGCTCTCAGAGATGTACAGTGGACCACTTCTTTACCTCTTAATAATAAATGCACACATGCGCAGTTGTGGATTGCAGACTCAGTCAGTTTTCTATCCTGGTCTTAACTTTTTGAATTTTAAAATTGTTCCCTATTTATTCAATTCTATAATCTGTGTTAAAGGTTAGTTCACTCAAAATGCGACTTTGTTATTTGTTCTACATCAACTTACTTTGCTCTGTGTCTGCTGTGTTAACATACTGTACCAGCCCAACTCTGACATTCCCTCTGTCACTGCAAAACTTCCACCTCAGTCATTTAGGGTTTTTTTTGTTGTTTTTTAAAGTTTTTTCTTTGCTCTTCTCTCTTTCTTCTCTTTGAAGGCTACAGTGCATTTGGAAAAGGTGGTATCACATGTTCATGTGCATCAACAAGAATTTAGCAATTATCTTGTGACAGCGGCTAAATGCTTATGGTTTTTGAATGTTAAACATTTATTAGTAATACCTATAGGATGATGCCTAAGAACTTAGTCATGAAAATGTAATGTTATGGAGAAAAACATATGATGTGAAGCCAGCTTTTCAGGGGCTGCACCAATTTACTACTTACTAATCTGGCCAAGATTTAATATCATTTTACAAGATACCACCAGGGTCGGGCGATATTATCAGTAAGACAATAGAAATTTGTCAACCTTCATAGATTTTTCTTTAACATATCTACCAAGGTATCCATTACTTCTGGTTGTGTAGCAAGCAACATTGCAAATGAACGAGTAGGACTGCTTTATGGTGAGAATGGATTTACAAGATTGCTGCTCTTCAGTGTCACCAATACAAAAAGGGTGTCTAGAGCCCTCAAAGTTCATCACAGGATGGAAGGAAAACCTGTATATGCTCTTGGCCCACAGCTGAGAACCACTATTTTAATCCTGACTGTTTCACCAACAAATCTGTGCTCCTATTGATATATTTTCCCCCATAAACTTATCATTGCCACTGTATATGTGCATGAGTCCAACTTCTTCTGAATGTGTTATATCCAAGTGTCACAGTATAACGGCCATGTAGCATGTTGTAGAAGAAAGAGTCATAATGTGTCATGAAACCTGGTGGTATTCCTCATGCTGTCTACTGTTATGACACTGTGGTGTTGTTTAATTACTCTAACAGACAGTGAAAGTCCAGGGCAATGACATCTCACACAAGCTGCAGATCTCCAGAGTCAGCAAGAGTGACGAAGGACTGTACGAGTGCCGGGTGACACGAGCTAACTACGGAGAGATTGTTGAGTACAAAGCCCAAGCCTGGCTAAAGGTCAATACTACAGCCAGGCCTCGACGACCTCTGCCACCTCCCAAGAAGAGCTCCCCGCTGCACCTTACAGACAAGAAGCCAAGAAAGTCCAGCTCACCTCTGGGCCAGGACAGCATGAGCTCAGACCAGAGGGTAGCCTCCACCTCCACCTCGCACACATCCTCCAAAACAGAACACAACCCTGGCTCAGGTAAGAGGCACCGTGGAACACAAAAGTCACTCAGGTAGTTTTTACTACCAGCATAAAATCTAGAGGCTAAGCATATAAAAAGCAACGAACAGTCTTCGGCATGCATTTACAAAATGGGCAAATGTAAAATCGAGCTTTCAGAAACAGCTAAACAGACCATTTATAACCGTTGCACATACACAAAAAAGAGCTTTGAACCATTCAATTCAATTCAATTTTATTTATGCCAATTCACAACAACAGTTATACCATAGCACTGTTCATATAGAGCAAGTCTAGACAATACTCTGTGATATAATTTACAGAAACCCAACAATTCCCACCATGAGCAAGCACTAGGCGACAGAGGCGAGGAAAAACTTCCTTTTAAGAGGCAGAAACCACCATGGCTCAGGGTAGGTGGCCATCTGTCTCGACCAGTTGGGGGTGATGAGAGAGAGAGAGAGAGAGAGATGGAAAGAGGGATGGGGGTTAGGAGGAGCAGCTTACACAATATCCACACAGAAGTACAGAAGTAAAGGTAATATTCTTACAGACTGAATGAATAACGGTTCAGATATTTATAGCAATGTTAATCATAATAATAACAACAAGAACTGCAAGCAGTTGTGATAGGGGTCCAAGCCACCTGACGCAGGCCGCGTCAGTGCCAGCCCACCCTGGCGTCCCGCAGACGATGAGGGAGCCAAAGCTGTGGGGCTATGGTGTGACGAATGACATTCCAGGCATAACATGAAAATCCTATGTATTGAAATGACATTTTCCTGCATGGTTGAGATTGCAGCATCCGATCCGACAGCATCCTACAAATACGTAGATATATGTTTTATGAATGTGCAATGTACATTGCAGTAGTTATGAGACAAAATGTCATTTGTTTGAAAATGCCATAGGAATGAATGGGATTTTCCTACGGAATTTCAACTTCGATTATAGTGCCACTTATAAGCTGAATTGCACCAAATTTTCCAGGTGTCATCAGGGGCCAATGGGGAACAAATGACTTAAATTTGGTATCAGTCGGACTTGTGGTCATGGAGATATAAAATTAATGTACAGTAAGTCAATAGGATTTTTTGAAATGTCTTTGATGTGCAATAACAGCGGCACCTATAGGCATATATAGGTCAACTTTGGTCACTGGAGTAAGGAAACCATTTGGAAACAATTCAGCTCAAATTTCATGTAAATGCGATTTGTGGTTATAGAGGAACAGTTATTTCGAGTTACAACCCCAATTCCAATAAAGTTGGGACGTTGTGTAAAACGTTAATAAAACCAGAATTCATTCATTTGCAAATCCTTTTCAACCTATATTTAATTTAATACACTACAAAGACAAGATATTTAATGTTCAAACTGATAAACTTTATTGTTTTCTGCAAATATTCACTCACTTTGAATTTGATGCCTGCAACATGTTCCAAAAAAGCTGGGACAGGGGCAACAAAAGACTGGGAAAGTTGAGGAATGCTCAGAAAACACCTGTTTGGAACATTCCACAGGTGAACAGGTTAATTGGTAACAGGTGAGTGTCATGATTGGGTATAAAAGGAGCATCCCCGAAAGGCTCAGTCATTCACAAGCAAGGATGGGGTGAGGTTCAACACTTTGTGGACAACTGCGTGAGCAAGTAGCCCAAGAGTTTACAACGTTTCTCAATGTACAATTGCAAGGAAATTAGGGATTTCATCATCAACGGTCCATAATATCATCAAAAGATTCAGAGAATCTGGAGAAATCTCTGCACGTAAGCGGCAAGGACAAAAACCAACACTGAATGTCCATGACCTTCGATCCCTCAGACGGCACTCCATTAAAAACCGACATCAATGTGTAAAGGATATTACCACATGGGCTCATGAACACTTCAGAAAACCATTGTCAGTTAACACAGTTTGTCGCTACATCAACAAGTGCAAGTTAAAACCCAACCCTGCAAAGCGAAAGCCATATATCAACAAAACCCAGAAACGCCGCTGGCTTCTCTGGGCCCGAGCTCATCCGAGATGGACTGACACAAAGTGGAAAAGTGTGCTGTGGTCTGACGAGTCCACATTTCAAATTGTTTTTGGAAATTATGGACATCGTGTCCTCTGGGCCAAAGAGGAAAAAGGACCATCGGGATTGTTATCAGCGCAAAGTTCAAAAGCCAGCAGCTGTGATGGTATGGGGGTGTGTTAGTGCCCATGGCATAGGTAACTTGCTCATCTGTGAAGGCACCATTAATGCTGAAAGGTATATACAGGTTTTGGAGCACCATACGCTGCTATACAAGCAATGTCTTTTTCAGGGATGTCCCTGTTTATTTCAGCAAGACAATACCAAGCCACATTCTGCACGTGTTACAACATTGTGGTTTCGTAGTAAAAGAGTGTGGGTACTAGACTGGCCTGCCTGCAGTCCAGACCTGTCTCCCATTGAAAATGTGTGGCGCATTATGAAGCGCAAAATACGACAACGAAGACCCCGGACTGTTGAGCAACCGTTGTACATCATGCAAGAATGGGAAAGAATTCCACCTACAAAGCTTCAACAATTAGTGTCCTCAGTTCCCAAACACTTATTGAGTGTTGTTAAAAGGAAAGGTGATGTAACACAGTGGTAGACATGGCCCTGTCCCAGCTTTTTTGGAACGTGTTGGAGGCATCAAATTCAAAGTGAGTGAAATTTACAAAAAACAAATAAAGAAGTGGTATTATGGTTTTTGGCTTTTTCCCTCTCCTTTATTGTTATATATCTTTTTTGTGCATGTGCTAGGTTTGCAAAGTGAAAAAGCCCAAAGTACACCCCAAAGGGAGTTCCCATCTCCCACAGAAAACACTGCTCTGAACAGCCTGAAAACAGCTCGTTTGTAGTCCAGCATTTACTTCCCTTTCTTGTGATGTCACAATGAAAATACATGTCATAATGCTCACTGAGCGACTAGTCCGACACGCCCTCAAAAACACCTGAGCTACAGCACACCTCTCCTCTCCCTTCCAAATACTAGCTACCCTACAGGCAGTCAATGGACTTGAAGTTGTTACTGTGATGTAGTGACAGAGCTCAGTTAAAACTTTATGGATGAAAGATACTTTTGTTACAGATTAATAACTCACCACTCTGAAACTCTTGCTCCAGTCCAAATTGCCAACCTGGTCGGCAACATGTACCCTACAGCTGAATTGAAGCTGTTTACCGTCTTTTCGCTGACCTGCCCTTCTCTGCTTCTGACTGGCTAGTAGTCCTTAACTAGGAACTGCGCATGTGCCACTCCCAACAAAGATGTATCACTCCATAGCTAAAACGAACAAAGGGTGAAAAGAGGAGCTGCAGCAATGTGCAGTATGACAACAAATATGGTGTTTTTTGAAAATTAAACCATGTAAACCTGTTGTGGTACAACCCCTAAATATGATTTTGAACCTGAAAATGAGCATAATACCACCTCTTTAAGTTTGTCTTTGTGGTGTATTCAATTGAACATAGGTTGAAAAGGATTTGCAGATCATTGTATTTTGTTTGTATTTACGTTTTACACAATGTCCCAACTTCATTGGAATTGAGGTTGTAAATAGCGCCACCTAGGGGTTAACCAAATTTTGAGTTGAATTCATAGGAATGCACCAAATTTTGCACAGCCACTCAGAAAGCCATGCCACATAAGGACACCAAGTTTGGTGTTAATTGGCCATTCCAAACTTAAGAAATTACATTACTTCCTGTTTTTAGCATTTTGCCTAAATAATTGTCAGCTTACAAATGGTTTTTGGCGTATCAATCTGGGGACCAGACAGGGTGACCGGGTGTTCCTGATTTTTGCAATATTAGGTAGGTTAAAAAAAAGGCGGCCCTTGAAATTTGCTTAATGTGAGATCAAAGATAACACTGAGATTCCTCACAGTGGTGCTGGAGGCCAGGGCGATGCCATCCAGAGTAACTATATCCTTAGATAATGTGTCATGTAGGTGATTGGGCCCCAGTACAATAACTTCAGTTTTATCCGAGTTTAACATTAGAAAATTACAGGTCATCCAGGTTTTTATATCCTGAAGGCACACTTGGAGTTTAGCTAACCAATTAGTGTTATCTGGCTTGATCGATAGATATAATTGAGTATCATCTGCATAACATAACAACAATACCTTAAAGGTAGCATTGCCAACCATGTCTACGAACATTTAGGAGACATTTGGGGAAACTGGCAACACAGATGGTAAATTAAAGTCAGTTTGAGAATCCTCAGTCAAGGGTTTAATGTGAATTAATAGTATTGTAAAAGGACATTTTACTGTGCAGTCCATCCATACCTGTTAAAGCTGCTATGTATGCAGCAGACCTACATATATCAGGCATAAATTGCAAACATCAATACCGTTTCAAATTCTTAAGATAAAGTACTTTGAAATGAGTTAATTACCTGAGGTCCTGTGTCCTACTTTACATATTTCATCCCCTGCAGTCTACGAGGGCGTAGTCTGCACGTCTGGAGGATGCACCTTTGCATTCAGCCTTTGTTTAAACTTTGGCTGCATATTTCCTTTGTTCAACGGCCAAACAAATACGTCCCCCTCCCTTCAGTCAGTGGACGCTACGGATGGTAAAATTAACCGATTAGCATCGGTGCACCATAAATGTTCAAGATGCGATTGGCCCAATTAAAAAAAAGTGTGCACCAGTTACAATTTGGAATGAAGTCGAGATGTATCATTTCTAACATCTTTGCATCAGTAAAATACCATTTCTTTATATAAATTATAAGTACAGTAGAGAATTGGTTACATTATATAAAGACTAATTCCTCCCAAACTGTTTCTCTCACCTCCTCTGCTGCCATGTCTGTCAGTTACTATGGAAGCCGAGGCTTATCACATGAGATTAGCAAGGAGCTGGAGAGTTACATGTTTATCCCAATTCCTACAAATCAGATGTTTGGAGACACAATGCTTGCAAAGCTAACGAGTTAGGATTAGCCATCAGAAACGTGAAAACTGTTGTTTATGTGATACAGCAAAGCC